GATGGAGCAGATGAACTTTACGTGAAGCAGAAGCCAACGAGTCAAAGACCAGTATAGAAGAAGATACGTCTCGTAAAATTAAGAGACTTTGTTGAATTTTAATTTTGTATTTGTAAATTCTGTACATTTAATTAAGTTATTGTTAATTATCTATTGGTTTAATTTAAGTGGCTATTGATCGGGACGAACAATACTAAGGAAGGGGCAGTGTTACGACAGCGGAAGTCATGTGACGCTGGTAACACGTAATGAGTATCTAGGAAGATCGAGGAACCTGTCGAACGTCCTAGCGTTTGCTAGACTCGCGTTCTTATAGTATATAAGCTGGCAAATAAAGTGACGGCAACAACTGGATAGCAGACGAAGAGATTGAAGATATAGATGGACAATTGAGTCAAGTGCGGTAGTAAGTAAAGTGCGTGAATCGTTCGTTGAGAATTATAGCGTGTATTTAAGTTAAAGTGACTGTGGAAATTAAGTGTATTTTAAAGTTGAATTGAGAAAGAACAAACTAATTTTATTTGAGAATGGACTTGTATCGTTGAAGTTATTCAGAAAGAATTTCTACGGAAAATTAACAAACGAACAGAGACGTAACAATATGTTTCTAGTTGATCATATATTCTACAGGAATAAAACTATCAAAGTGCGGGAGCGTTAATTGTCCTATGAACATTTTCTTTCGATAGATTGACGTTGAAAACATTTGAGCATCTTAAGTAATTAGCACATCTAGAAAAATAAAGTGTTTTGTTATTCAATTTCACTGGTTAACCTAATATATGAATACCACAAGTTTAAAAACTCAGAAAAATGTTGAATTTCGTCTTTTGATAGACATGACGAAAGTGTCATCAACATAGCACTTGTGAAATATTGGCTTGAAGTTTTCTAAGCAGTTGCTCAACCAAGATTATTCGTGGTGGCTAGAAAAAGTGTTGACTATGGTTGGTCCTTGTGAGGACCCCATGGCTATCCCATCCATTTTGTCATACAATTTTCCACTGAATAAATATGGTTGCTTTTTCATAGAATTGGTAATTAGAATCTAAGTTATTCCTTATATAAAGGGTAAATAAGAACGTTCTTTCTAAAGACTTGTCCAAACAAATACCGATGGTTTCATCCAATGGAATACTTACGAATAAAAGAGTTACATAAAAGCTAGCTTGCATGAAGTTTTCACTGGAAGGATGTAGGTTTTTTTAGCTCATCAACAAATAAGAAAAGCTAACAAATTCATCTATCCTATTACATACTCGGTCATGTGGAACACCAAAACACAATCAACACGGACACAATCAATTCTTCAAGGTAATGGGGTGTAATTCGAATGAGGAAAACTTCCGGTAAAGAAGTCTTTATATCTTAAATTACTTCAACTACGCCTGAACATAGATACTATAGATAATTTTGTATGCTTCCTTTCGTGCCTGCTTATTTAGTAAAACGTCATTATTTCTTAAATGTTAAACCGTGTACATTCCAAGCGTTGATAATTCTATGTTGAGCATATGATGTCGGTCTGAGATCGAAATAACACGTGTTAAAACTGAAATTCATTGAATATACAAGAATTTGTTTGATTTTGTTTTGTTTGAAGTTAAACACAAAGATACACAATGGGTTATCTGTGCTCTGCCAACCACAAGTATCAAAACTCGGTTTCTAGCATTGTAAGTCCACAGATATACCGCTGTGCCACTCGAGGTCATCTACGAGAACAAATGTCTGATTTATTTTTCTCATTTCTATAAGTTTTAATTACTATCAATTACAAAATTAATGTTTTTAGCGAATATTTATTTATTTGAAATTAGCTCTTTATATGTTAGTTCTGTTTATTTGTCTTTAAACAGTGGCAGGCATAAAATTTTACTGTTTAAGTAACATCCAGTAGCCCTAAGATATATGACCAAAATCACTTGGACTTACGGGTATTTTTACCCACATACTTCTCAATTTGTTTATTTCAGATTTCAAAACAGAAGTGTGTAAAACTAGCATTTCTTTTGTTTCCCACAAGTCACTGCCCAAGAAACCTTTCGTTCAATATCAGAATTCGTCAGCTCCACTCGAAAATGAAAGAAAAACATTAATGTGCAATGTTCTTTACATACAGCCTCGGGTTAACGGAAAAGTAGACGAATCATTAGAACGTTAATTTTATTGGATTCTAACGTTAAACAATATTTCGTCATTTAAACTATAGCCTACTGCATTTTTATTTTATTTTGAGAGCCACGTGAGTTTAGGCCAACCCTCATTGATTTCATATTTTTAGTGTTATGTTGTAATGTATCTGATTCATTATTTTTTCTGTCTGTGGGTGTTAAAGCTTTGAAGCATAAGGTGAACAACTTTACAACCAGAAAATAAAACAAATAAGATAATTCACAATCAATCTTTCATTAATTTTAGTTAACAATGTGAATGTCAAAATAAAGTGTGAGTTGACTCAATTTTCACAACATTTTGCAATCTTAGTGGACACTTAACTATACAGAATTGTGAACGTGTATTATTGCCTGTACATATTACTCTTTATTTCAAATATTTTAGTGGTCATATCTCTTTATGTGACTAATCTATCGGTGGAAACACAATTTTAGTACCATAATATTGAAAACTATATTTGTTTATTACGAATTACAGCAAAACTTCAGAATTATTTTAGACTTAAAATTTAAGAGATAGCACCAATTACAAGAAAAACTTGAATTTTGTTATATTATATGGAATCTCACAATACAAACATGATATAGGCTATGGAGACAAAGATAAAGAGTAGTTTACTAATACACTGTAGATATTTCATTTACTTAAAATTACGTCATACGTAATAATAAACTTAGTATTCCGATAACTGTTTATTCTCGAAGTCTAAGTTCAAGGTATGTCCAGTTCAGCCTACACTTTGATCAACGTGTGTTAATTCCACTCCTCGTCAATAACCCTGAACACAAGTGAAACAGAGATAAGCTGGACCTATATCAGAGTGAAAAGTATAAAACATACTGTTGGTGTGAACGTGCTTTGTGGTCACTATGGTACATCATACGTGTAAGGGTTGATCAAACCACCTAATTCTCCTTACATCTAATATCCTTAAAGGTTACATTCATAAGGTTAATGTTCAAATCTGAGCATACGAATCCCTTGATGTACTGCTTTGACACATACGGAAGGATGACCCACCAAGCAGAGTTCTCGCATGTACAGAGAAACCGGTTACCTGAGGAGGAGAAACAATTAAACATTTAACTACTAAAATAGAACACTCCTTAAAAGGAACATTTATCGACTACTCTCAAAAGAAAAGTTTCTCCTCGTAAAGTTTATTTTTTCAAAGCCTCAATAGAACAAAAAAAAAACATTATACAAGCCTTGTTTTGCCATAAACATTAGACGAATTTATATAGACTCTTGTGGTGGTTAATGCTAGGTATCCATCCACTTTAACAACTTTTCGTTTGGTGATGGATAAAATTTGGAGGTATACAGTAACCTACGTTTTTGAGAAAAAAACCTCAATGTAATCTTACAATTGTAATATTTCAATTGTGACATTTTCTGTTGTTTTTTGTTGTTGTCGTTCTTTAGGGTATTAGGTTTTTCATTCAATAAAAGTAACTTTTGGTAATGCTATGCTGTTAAATACTTTTTAGTTTTGGATCACAACAGGTATCTTAAGTAAATACATTCTAACTTACTGAATTAAGTATGACTTTGCAAATAATCTATATTATAAATATCGTAGATTTTGTAGGCTAGAGCGACAATTTTTGACGGGTTAGAGTTTCAAAAAGACAGTTGTACTTTCAGTAAGATAAGATATAGACATTGCATGTGACTTGTCACATTCAGTAGGGTAGGGTGTAGACGGCACAGTACCGTGTTCAGTAGGTATAATGTAGACAGTGCAGATGACTTGTCACATTCAGTAGGGTAGGGTGTAGACGACACAGTACCGTGTTCAGTAGGTATAATGTAGACAGTGCAGATGACTTGTCACATTCAGTAGGGTAGGGTGTAGACGGCACAGTACCGTGTTCAGTAGGTATAATGTAGACAGTGCAGATGACTTGTCACATTCAGTAGGGTAGGGTGTAGACGGCACAGTACCGTGTTCAGTAGGTATAATGTAGACAGTGCAGATGACTTGTCACATTCAGTAGGGTAGGGTGTAGACGGCACAGTACCGTGTTCAGTAGGTATAATGTAGACAGTGCAGATGACTTGTCACATTCAGTAGGGTAGGGTGTAGA